TCGCTATTGGTCACTATAGGGAGAATTCAAGCTGGACTCGAGATTAAGGGCTCAAACTGGATCGAAAGCGCCACTGAAAGACCTAGCCTTTTATCGAACCGAATAAAAGTCCGAAAACCCGACACGAACCAATTTCCAGATTGGAAATGAATCTTCGGCTTGGGACTTTTAATCGGGACTCCGAAAGTGACGAAGCCGCGTTTGAAAACCCGCGATGGGGCGATATTTCACGAGCGCTATCACGGTGAAAGCGTCTTTTCACTTTGAATTCTGGAAATCTCTCGGCGACAACGAAAGATACCTGGGGCCGCGTTTAGAAACTCTCCGAGGACTGTACATCTTTTTTTACTAATTTTTGCATTTGTCCCTCGTTTTCGGTCTATATGGAGGAACGCTTCCTTAAGGCCTTTGTTGTAAACTGACGAGGTATCGTCGTTTCATCGAGGGTGTTCTCTCACGCTGGGGTGATGGAGGCGTTACGGTAGCGGTGTATCGGAATGCGAGTAAGTGCCGGTAGATTTTCAGATCGGCAAACTCTCCTCCGAAGTTTCGTATCGTGGCGCGGGGCCCGATAATGAAGTAACTTTACTGGTTCCAAGGTGGTTTCCTTCTGCAATGGCAATCTCCGAGGGAACGTGACGGGGCGAGTATCCGAGCGCATCTTTCTTTCTCGGCGGGTAAAAGTTTGGCCGCGAGGTAGAGGGGGATTCCCTCGTTGGATTCACGCGAACGTTTGCTCCTGAGAAAAACATGCATCGGAAATGGGGCCCCGACGGCCAATCAGATGTCTCCTAACGAGCCGATTCCCCTCTCGGACCAATTATCCTAACCACACAGGCTGAGCCTCGAAATTCGAGGGCCTACCTCCGAGGTAACTTCAATACCCAGTGGATTCGAAATCACCGACTGGCCGAGATCGGATCATTAGAATTTCGCATCAGCCGAGGAGACAAGTCGAGGCGAACTCGGATGAAAAAACCGAGATCGGGCTGAATCGATGGTCCACCATTCCGGAGGGAGATGCACGCAACTCGTTCGTCTCTCGCTGATTGCCGGGTAAATTCGAGAATTGGATTATGGAACGCTGGAAAATGTTCTTTTTGCCCCCGGGAATCGCGAGGTGATCAGCGGGTGGTTAAGATTGATTTATCGGTACTTTGAATTATTTGTCGTACCTTCCAAGAACGAGGAAAAGTGCTCGTTGGGTGATAGGGTTTTCATGGTAGTAAAAGGTGTAGGGCAATGCATTCCGTATTTGGCTTTCCCATTACCCTTGCTGCGCTTTCAGGGCATTCAAGTTTTCCACCGTGCGAATTATCTCGTTAAACATAATTTACCTCGAATTAAGGCCTTTCCGCAGTACCCACGGCGCCGGCCGAGTAAAACGGACATGCTCGTAATGCGAGCGGCACGCGCAAGCCTCCAAGAAATGTAATGACCATAGTTTCCGAATTGCAATCACGACGATCTTTATACCTTAGTAACGGCTGGCAGGAATTTCAATTGGACGGATGCGAGAAGCGAATTCTAAAATGCAGATTCATCCTTCTTAGGGGTTACCTTCGGAGATGCTTACTTCCTTACGCATGGCGGGATGCGCAGCCTCTGGAACTTCTGGATCTGCTTGAGAATTCCCTTGACGTGAGCGTAAGGAAATTTCGGCGAGAAATTTATTTACGGTAAATGCGAGGTATACCGCAATTCGAGATCCCTTCAAATTACTTAGGGGTTAAAATGTCCACGAGTCACGGAAATTGGATCGGTAAAAATGGTCACCATGACGTTTTGCTCTCTTAGTCCGTCTTTCTGTCAGCTACTGTACTTCCTCTTCAGACATCCATAATGCATGCGCGGAAAAAAGGTACAGCCAGATTTACACAGCATTGTCTTCGGTACGTGGTTTTTCATTTCGAAGAAAAATTCCATCGGTCTTTTGCAGAGGAATGCGTCAACAATTCCAGGGTTTATCATGAAACCCGATAAAATGTGGATTTTTTAATAACTTCGTGGAGCAGGTAAATAACACGTAGCAGAAGTCGAGGAAGCGATTTCTTTTTCGCTAAGAAGATTGCCATGTCGTATTTACTGGTTAAGTTCTACCTAACTCGTCGCTGTCACTTCCATAGACGTAATTAATTTTTTGTCGCTGCCCTACTTAACTAATTTTGAGATCGAAGGTGTCGGGAAATCAAAAGTGTCATTTGTCGCATATTCTTCGTCGTAGCACATCGAGACACCGGGACAAGGCCATACCATTGTCGGAATTTCGTTTATCGTTAAGGTGAAGTGAAACATCCTTCAAATCAGTCGATTCGAATACAACACTTTTTCTTAAGGGTATTAGACCAAACTGTCCGAAACTTTGACACATCGCTTCTGATCATCTAAGAATTGTCCTGACACATTCAAAATTTGGACTTTTCAAAAAAAATCTTTTAACTCAGTCCAGACCAGAACCAAAATGGCGTCGAGCTCTCATATTTCGATAAATATACAATTATCGAAGGCTCTGATATGAGAATCGAAAGGGTCAGGACAATTTTACGACAATTTAGAACACTCTGGTAATCGATAAACTCGCATTTGAACGGGATAAAGGCAAAAAAAGTGTTGTATGCGCTTCTTTGCTAAAACGATGGGAATACGAGGTCTGGGAGTGAAAATTTAATTGACCTGGAAATCACAGATGGCGCAGGGGGTCCCTCCGCAGTCAATTAGGGCCCCAGAAGGCATGAATCCAGAGGATTTCTGGAGTTTTACTTCGATTTCTTGATAATTATTGTACGAAAACGACAGGTGGAATATGCCATTTGGTACAATACACAATATAATTCGACCTAGTTGTCGATATAAAAACCAACGTCGGCAACGTAGGCATTTAGAAAAATTTTCTTTATCGACGTCGATCAAGTTCCTCGACGTATTTCACTTCACCTTAAATTAACAATGCGTGCACAGCGGATAATTATTCAGTGCCCTGTATTAACGGTTCTCTTCCAATGTGAGCATTTTCCTCGCACATTCAAGTGCATACTTCCTGCAGCAAGTGGGAAGAAAAAAGCCTAGGTGAGCAGCGCAAAACTTGGCCGATGTTTACGAATTATACGTTACGAGCGGGAAACCAACGGCTCGTTGGTCGAAAATTGTTACGTTGGATCACCGAGGAAAATTCTAATATTTCACTTTGTCGAAAGTCGGCGTTACTTTCGACGCGGTTAAGAGCGGATACTTATCGGCAAAGTGCAACGCAAACGCGCTCCCGAGGTTCGTTCGTCTAAACTAATTTCCCGGAATAATAAATAACGCGGCAATGATCGGAGTATCGAAGGGGCGCGTTCTAAAATGTAGATCGACTCGAATATTCGAGAAGCCATAAAGAAGTCTGGGAGAAGTCAAGCCAAAGTTGGGAAGTTCGGTAAGGTAGGCGAACGGGCAATCACGAGGATCCACCGAGTGTACTCGTTTCATCATTAAACCGGAGTAAGATCGAAACTGCAAAGTAGACAACCGAGGATCCTGAATTCTTGATGAGTTTCGAAGAAGACGAGTAGACGTCGAAGTGAATTAGTAAAGTCTGCCGCGAAGGGCGGGTAAGCACTCGCGAAGATTCGTTTACCGGTACCTAGTCTGTCTTTATTCGAACGAATTAAAGATAGCCAGTCAGACATAGAAAGGACAAGAATCCCCGATGTCCCGAGAAGCAGGAAGGATTCCCTGACCGTATTTATTCGGTCCCCGTGCCGCCGGAAACGAGACGCTAAAGTACGCTGTTACGTCCGTAAGAAGAATTTTGTTAGTACAGTACATAGTCATAACTCAGGAGCAAATCAAACAGGACCATAAGTAATACCGTGGAGGAGCCAATCGCGGAGAATTTCGAAATTCTTTGTATCTCTTCCACGGCGCGGGAACTTTTTTCAGGCACCGCGAGTCTCGAGAAAAACGACACTCCGCTTTTCACAACGACCGAAGGAAGTCCTCGAACCTGGAAGGACCTCAACGCAAGCTACATCTCTCCGTTCGCATTACCCTAGGAGAAGTCTGAGTTAAAATAATGAATCGGAGCAACTAGGAGCCGTTCGCCTCCACGCGAGCAGGGGAAAGAACATACGCGATCAAGGGAGTCGAATTTCCAGCAAGCGGCGAAGACGTCGAGGAGAAGCCGCGTACTCGACGGAGGCGCAGCAGTAAGACCGAGTAAAATCGGCGGAGGAGCAATTGCCGGGATCCCGCGAGGGTACCTGCCTTGTTTTTCTAGGCTCGGCGGAACGTCGGGCCTGAGCAGGAGGCCGTGGCGGAGGGAGAAAAGTGGGCAGGAGAGAGGAAGAGGGGGTCGGGCCCGCGGCGGAGGGAGAGAGCGCGAGGCGCGCCGCGAAGGCCGGGAAGGGAAGGTAAGGGAAGGTAAGGGAAGGTAAGGCGGCCGAGGAGAAGGGCGAGAGAAGAGAAGAGAAGGGGATCCCGTAGCGGTCCCAGTTTGGATCGGACAACCTACAAACCAGTCCTCGAAGAGCCACGCTCTTTGCCGAAGCGATTCCTTGTGTTTCCCTCTCTCTCCCTCCCTCTCGCGGCGGGGCCCGAGCCAGCGCGTGCTAAGCGAGAGAGAGAGAGAGCGCGCGCGCGGCCGCGACCAGTGAACGGAGGGAGCGAGGGCAGGCCGGGGTCTTGATGGCGAGTGGCGACCGTCCGGGCAGCCCCGCGAGGAAAAGGGCCCAGCTCGCGTCGCGGGACTCCGGAGTGCGGTCCTTGGAGTGAACCGGGAGGCGGGGGCGAGTGGTGCCCAGTGGTCGTCAGTGTCGGGGTAGAAGACGGCAGAGACGAGCGATGCGCTCGTCGAGAGGCCGCGGATCTCGGAACGGGGCCCGTGCGAGCCCTAGGAACCAGCCGCAAACGGAGCCCGCGGCAGCGGTCAGCACGTAGGCCCGCGGTCTTTGCTCCCGGAGGCGCTTACATGCATACGTGCGTGTACCGGTGCGCCGCGCGGACCAACAAGGAGTGCAAAAATGCAGGGTAGCCCTGCCTTCGTGGCCATACTGCTGGGTACGATATTCGGGGTGCTCGGCGCCTCGCTGAGCAAGGCCCTCCGCTACAAGGCGCCGGACGAGTGCAAGTGGATCGCCACCGGCGACGCGGAGGACGACGTCTCCCTGGTGTGCAGGCTGCGCACCATCAACAGCGAGCTGGAGAACACCAACTTCAGCGTGATCCAGCCGCAGCACACGGTGCGACTGAGGCTCGAGTGCAGCGACACCCTCTTCTTCCAGAGCTCCCTCAGCGCCGGCAGCTTCCGCCCGCTGGTCGAGCTCCGGGAACTCATCATCGAGTATTGCAAGATCGGCAACCTCTCCGATGACGCGTTCAAAGGGCTGAGGGAGCTGCGCAATCTGACCGTCAGGACGCACAACACCGACTGGTCCTCCATGGCTCTGGACGTGTCCGCCAGGGCGTTCACGGAGGAGCTCGGCCAGCTGGAGAGACTGGACCTGGGGGAGAACAACATGTGGAGCCTCCCGGAGGGTAGCCTCTGTCCGCTGATCAACCTCGAGGTGCTCAATCTCACGAGGAACCGACTGCGCGACGTCACCGGGTTCCGGTTCAACGCCGCCGCCAGGTGCGCCTCCGGACTGAGGCAGCTCGACCTTAGCAACAACAGCATCGAGTCCCTTCCGTCGGCCGCGTTCTCGGGACTCTCCAGGCTACACAGCTTGGATCTCAGGAGCAACGCCATCGCTTCTCTGGCCGATCGGGCGTTCGAGGGCCTCCCTTCGCTGGCCGTCCTGGAGCTCACGGACAACCGGTTGACCAGCCTGCCCCCGGAACTCTTCGCCGACACCAGGAACGTCCAGGAAATCCACCTGAAGAACAATTCCCTTAACGTTCTACCGCCGGGATTGTTCAGCGAACTGTCTCAGCTGCTGGTGCTGAGTCTGTCCAGAAACGAGCTGACGGCAGAGTGGGTGAACGCGGCGACGTTCACGGGACTGGTCAGACTGGTGATCCTCGACTTGTCCTACAACCGTATCACCAGATTGGAGCCAGCCGTTTTTCGGGATCTGTACAGTCTGCAGATTCTCCGACTTCAAGGCAATCTGTTGGACGGTCTTCTGGAGAACACGTTCTCGGCCCTTTACAATCTACACACCCTGGTGCTCAGCGATAACAGGCTGACCAACATCGACGCCGCCACTTTATCGGGACTTTATGTTCTGAGTTTCCTGTCTTTGGACAACAACCGGTTGGACGCGCTCCATCCGAGCTCTTTAAAGAACGCTTCGTCCCTGCAGGACTTGTACCTTAATGGGAATCGCCTCACGGTTATACCGGAAGCCCTCGAAGCGACGCCATTGCTGCGTACCTTGGATCTCGGAGAAAACCTCATCTCGGAGATCCCGAATGGTACCTTCGATCATCTTTCTCAGATGTACGGATTGCGTCTCACGGAGAACCACATCGGGAACCTCAGCAAGGGGATCTTCGACCGCACGAAAGAGCTGAAGATCCTGAATCTCTCGAGGAACAGGATACAGCGCATCGAGGCAGGGACTTTCAACGAGAACGTCAACCTCCAAGCGATCAGGCTCGATGGGAATCAGTTGACCGACATCGCCGGTCTCTTCTCCAACCTGCCGAACCTGGTTTGGCTGAACGTTAGCGACAACCGTCTGAAATGGTTCGACTATGCCATGATACCGACTCGTCTGAAATGGCTGGACATACATTCGAACGAGATCAGCGAATTGGGAAACTACTTCGAGGTGGAGTCTCAGCTTCACCTGAGCACTTTCGACGCCAGTGAGAATCGGTTGACCGAAGTCACCGGAAACGCTATACCGATGAGCGTGGAGATGCTCTATCTGAACGATAACCTTATCACCAAGGTTCAGAGTTACGCCTTCTTCAAGAAACCGAATCTCACCAGGGTGGACCTCAAGGGCAACAAGATCCGCAACCTGGAGCCCTACGCTCTCCGTATCAGTGCAGTGCCACTAAATCGACCTCTCCCCGAGTTCTACATCGGTGATAATCAGTATTTTTGCGATTGCACCATGGAATGGTTGCAGCACGTCAACAAGCAAATCCCGACGCGGATACATCCGCGAGTGATGGACCTGGAGAGCATCTATTGCATGCTGTTGTACGACCGCGAGCGTGTTTTTGTGCCGCTAGTGGAGGCTTCGCATTCCCAGTTCCTTTGCAAGTACGACTCGCACTGTTTTGCGCTGTGCCACTGTTGCGACTTCGATGCCTGCGATTGCGAGATGACGTGTCCTAGCAACTGCACGTGCTACCACGATCAGTCGTGGTCAGCCAACGTGGTGGACTGTTCTTCCGGCGGTCACATCGGCCGGTTACCTGATCAGATCCCGATGGACGCCACCAGGCTGTATCTGGATGGCAACGATCTGAAGATCGTCACCAGCCATGCGTTCATAGGGCGCAAGAAGCTGAAGGTGCTCTTTCTGAACGCGTCCAACATCGAGCTTGTGCAGAACCGATCGTTCAACGGTCTGCGAGACCTGAAGGACCTGCATCTGCAGGACAACAGGATTCGAGAGCTGCGGGGACACGAGTTCGAGGGCCTGGAAACCTTGAGGTCGCTGTATCTTCAGCGAAACGAGATCATCGGCATCGCCAACGACACCTTCAGTCCACTGCGCTCCCTGCGGATTCTGCACTTGGAGAACAATCGTCTGACGACGTTGCCCGTGCGGTTGATGCCAACACCTCTGAACGTCAGCCTCGCCAGGAACCCCTGGTCATGCAACTGCGAGTACTTGCGCGCCTATCGTCAGTGGTCTCTCAGTGCAGGAACGCAAGTGCTCGACGCGGACCACGCTAGGTGTGTGTACAACATTACGGAGTTCGAGGACTTTGGCGACGACGTGTTCCGCGACGACGAGTTCGGCTTCGCCCTTCCGACGGCGGATACCTCTGCCGACAGCCAATACGCCGCCGAATGTACCGACCTAAGCGCGATCGAGAACAGCGTCCACGGCAACCTGACCAAGACCATCGTGGAACGGCAGGCGTTGCAGGACTACCTGCCGCTCCTGGTGACGACTCTAGCGGTCTTCCTCATGGTGACCCTTCTCGGGATTCTCGGATTCGTCTTCAGACAGGAATTGCGCGTGTGGTTTCACGCGAAGTTCGGTGTGCGGATCTTCTACAGGAACACCGAGGTCGACCGCGAAGACCGTGACAAACTGTTCGACGCCTTCGTCAGCTACAGCTCGAAGGACGAGGCCTTCGTGGCCGAAGAGTTGGCCCCTGTCCTGGAAACGGGGAACCCTTCGTACAAACTGTGCCTCCACTACCGAGACTTCCCTGTCGGCAGCTTCGTCGCGGACACCATAGTCCAGGCCGTGGAGTCCTCCAGGAGGACCATAATGGTCCTCTCGGAGAACTTCATCAAGTCCGAGTGGTGCCGCTTCGAGTTTAAGTCGGCGCACCACCAAGTGCTCAGAGACCGCCGACGCAGGCTGATCCTGGTCCTGGTCGGCGATGTTCCCCAGCGGGATCTGGACCCGGATATAAGACTGTACCTCAAGACCAACACGTACTTGCAGTGGGGCGACAAGCTCTTCTGGGAGAAGCTCAGATTCGCCCTGCCCGACGTGCCCAACAACCAGAGGGCCACGCCGAGCAGACACCCGCCGCCGGTCCGGCGACAACACAACAACCGTACCTCCAACGGCGGCAGGTCGGTTGCCGTTCACATATGAACCTAGACCAACGATTAACGCGGACTCATCGGGACTCCGGAGTTCTCCATTCGAGGGTCCACGGCGGTTCCACCCGAAGTACTCCCGAGGGTACCACCCCAGGTGTCGCGCGGGGTACCATCCGAGGGTACCCCCAGGTGTAACCGGAGTGTGACCAAGTTCCGACCGCAGAGGTCTGCGGTTCCGGGCCGCACTTCGCTGTGATGGACGAGTGTAAATAAAAGGAGGGAAAACGAAAGGAAGGAAAGGGAATGGAAAGCAAGCGGGCAAGAGTGGAATTCGTGCGATCGCGGAGGGCCGGAAGGACTCGCTCCCTCTCCGGATATCGCGGGAGGACGTGTATATAGACAACCGCGTTCAGGGTAACGCGGTTTACGGTCGAGGTAAGGGCATCGCCTCTCGCCCTCTGTACATTTGACGGATCTAGTTGATTAGTTAGCGATTAACGAGTCATCGTGTAAATACCTGTGTATACGCTACGCTCCCCTGTACGATACGGTCCATAGAATGGCGCCCGACGTTCTCGAGATTATTTTATATATATAAATAGTATAAATATATATATATATATTTTATATACGTGTATAAATCGCACACACCCGCGCTCGTATGATTCCTATTTAGCAGGCGGTAGGGCGCGGATTGACGCGACCGCTCCGGAGGAGCGGTGCCATAGGGCGCGTTGAGAAATCAAAAGTCATCCCTTCTACCCCGAGACCACCCCTAAGTTAGGTAGTACTTTAGTAATGATATGTGATGTCCTCTAGTGTTAAAGGTGCTAAACGGCGGCGTGTCTCCCGACGCGGGACGAAGCCCGTGGTGCGGATTTCGCAATTCCTAGGGACCTTCCGTTCCTCGCAAACGCTCCGGCGAGCTTACAGCCAATCGCGCGTTTTCCTTCTCCGATAGCGCGACTTCTATCTTTTTTTTTTCTCTCTCTCGCCGTTCCTCTCTGTTTAGCTTCTCGCGGCGCCCCTGCACGCGCTTTTCTGCCCTCGACTTCGTCGCGGAAGAACGAGGTCCAACGCGCCGCGGTTCATAGTCAGGGTCCGGGACGCGCTTTTCTGCATTCGAGTTCGTTGCGGAAGGACGAAACGAGGAAAAGCATTTATTAGCCTAGGCTCCACGACCAGTGGATGGGTGGCTGGAAACGATACGACGTCGAAATTGCCGAGGGAGATAGTACTCGCAGCTGGGCCTCGAAACTCCCGTAAACGTATTTGACCAGTTCCACCGTCATTGGTCCCTAAACGTAACGTCCATTCGGTCACTAGCTCGGTCTGCGGGGAATTGGGAATCTTAATTGTGCAACCAGCCTCTTGCATCGATATTCGCTCCCTCGATCTACCGGTGCAAATGCTTATTCTTACTTCGTCGCGGTAAGTGTACCACTGATCGCGCATTAAACCCCATCGAGGGGGCGAAAATGTCTGCCTTTGACTTCGCCGTGAGTTCGAGTTCCACCATGATGAACATGTCGCACCAGTGGATCGGGGACGGTCGGAGGAGCCGTGTAAAGTAGCGCGTTACTCTTTATTTATTTCGCTAGGATAACGTTGGACGGAAGAAAAGCGGGAGAAACGCGAGAGACGGGATCCGAGGAGGGAAAGTCGAGGCTCCACCCTCCGGGATGTTTCGCTGCGTTGCGTCGCTCCATTTTAGGAATAGTTTTCCACCGACGCGTCCGTTACAGTTAAGCGAATATATAGAGCACCATCGGGAAACTTTGGAGTGCGGGAACACCGAACTTTTTGGCGCTCTCCGGCCCGGCTGCGAGAACGAGCGGAGTCCTTGGGGAGTTCTAGGAGGGAAGAAAGGACTCGTGCCGAGTTTCACGGCGAAAACGATCCGGAAGACCTTCCCTGGGATTGTAAAATGATAACGCGCGATGGACGGGCGGCGTCGAGGCGTCGAGGGGGACGCGCGTCTTCGACGGTGATGGGCGTCTTATCGACCACCTCGAGGCGAGGGTCCGGAATCATTTTTTCTCGGCCCACCTCGACGCCGCGCGTCCTCCGGTGATATCAGGGATAGACTATTTTAATGAAATTTACGACTGACGAATAAACTCCTCTGTTTCTACGTTCTCACACCTCGTGTACTTTTTTGCTTCTCCCTGGAAACGATCCCTTTTGAGTAATTCGTGATCTCGCCACGTGGAATGCATATGCTGATTTTGGAAGTTTCGAAGATACTCACGTAGCAATTGGTGGTTTGCGCGGTCCTTTATCGGTGAAGGGACCTTTAATTTGGGTTCTTGTCCGATCTCTCAGTCGCTCAATTTTTTACGGCTCGGGAAATGGTCGCAATTAGATGTGCGTGGTTGGGATAAGACGCGAATTTGGGTTCTTGTCCGATCTTTCAGTCGCTCAATTTTTTACGGCTTGGGAAATGGTCGCAATTAGATGTGCGTGGTTGGGATAAGACGCGAATTTGGGTTCTTGTCCGATCTCTTAGTCTCTCCATTTTTTACGGTTCGGGAAATGGTCACAATTAGGTGTGTGTGGTTGGGATAAGACGCGAATTTGGGTTTTTGTCCGATCTCTCAGTCGCTCAATTTTTTACGGCTCGGGAAATGGTCACAATTAGATGTGCGTGGTTGGGATAAGACGCGAATTTGGGTTCTTGTCCGATCTCTTAGTCTCTCCATTTTTTACGGCTCGGGAAATGGTCGCAATTAGATGTGCGTGGTTGGGATAAGGTGCGAATTTGGGTTTTTGTCCGATCTTTCAACCTCTCAATTTTTTACGGCTCGGGAAATGGTCGCAATTAGGTGTGCGTGGTTGGGATAAGACGCGATAAGGACTTTCAGTGGCAGAGGAATTATGTGGGAAATGAGCTTAATCCGGTGGGCGCGAAACGGATTGCATTCTCGCGACTGGCGGAAAGGAACGCCGACGGGTCTCAGAGGAACTGGAAACGAGATTGACCCGCGTTCGTCGGGGATCTGTGAAATGCCGTTACGATCCTTGAGAATGACTTTTTGTGCAAGAACTAGCCGCATTCCGAAATGTTCTATCGCTGAGAGCGGACCCAGAGAGAGAGAGCCGATGCACTTCTGCGAGTCGCGCGCACTGGATTCCGCAGTTTTTCTAGCCGAGCTTTCCCAATCGATAACTATCGGTTCTTGATAATAGCGTGTCAATAGGAAGAAATCCCGATTGGTTTTATCTGGAACGAGCAATGCTCGTAGCAGCTGGTAGTCATTCCGGGCATTGCGTACCGTCAACTGTATTACGATCGTTTCTCCGAAAAAATCTGCCACCGATAAATCGTCATCGAAAATTGCAGACAGGTATAGGTAGATTCTGTAGTGGAGGAATTCGACCGAACCAGGCGTGGCATTAAACGTTCGGATAAAAGAAAAAAGGATCGAGCTCGATAATTTGCAACGTCAAAAAGTGAAAACGTTCCCGAGGAGGTCAGGTGTGCCGAAAAAGTAACCGCGCGTAATACCGGAGATTGGTACCCGGGTAAGGGGCCCGAGGGATAATCCACCGGGAAAAAGGAAATTTATTTCCCCGCAATTAAATGATTTACTGGCCTGTCCCCGTCCTTTTGGCGCGACAAACAGGTTCCAGGGTGGGTGAATTTTTTAAAACATTCTAACAGGAACTCTCCTCCCGCGCGAACGTTGTAGCCGCGACGGTCGTTAAAACCGACAAACTCTACTTGTGAGTGCCGAGAAATCCTAAGGGCGCAATAAACGAGAGATACTTGAGCAGCGATCTTGCGTTATCTCGCGATACGCAAGAATTTCACGGCAAAGTGCCGGTGGAGACGTAAAAATTGTCCTTTCAAGACCTCGGGTCTTCGTTTTAAGGAGGAATGCGGGAGGGACCTAAACGACTGTCCTCAAAGGAGGGCCGGGATGATCGGCCGCCGGTATTAAGTTTCATTCCATTCCCAAATCCGGCTGTCGTCGGACGTTTCTTCTTTTTCTCTCTTTCCTCCGCCGATTTCTCGTGTCTCCCTTCAAACCCTGGCCCTACATCGTAACGACAGATGCTCAACGTCCGCCGGGGGTAGCTAACGGAACGTGGATTGAATTTCACAGGGCCAAGACTTATCGGACTGTCACCGTTCGCTTTTTTCCACGCCATTCTAGGTCCAAATTGTCTCCAAATTAGAATTTCGAACGGACTACGGTTTCTTTCCTACGAGTTTCGCCTCGGCGTTAAAATGCGATCGGACCGTGCGAACGTATTTCGCGAAGAATTTCAGATTTTCGGTTATTTTCTTTTTTTCTTCCTGGAGGACGGGATGTAAGATTCAATTTTTACCAAGAAAAGAAGAGAGGAGGAGGAGGTTGAATTTAAACCGTCGGGGTAAAACTGCACGCGCTGTTTCGATCGCGTTAAAAGCAGGAATCTCGGCAACTTTTCACTCCAAGTAGACGAGGTAGTTTCGAGCGACCTATTGTGTTAAGTCCGGTTAGTCAGGGTAGTTAGTTCTGGTCGGCATCGATTAAGCCAGGGTCGCTAAATGTCGCTCTAGACTCCGCGTCGCAGTCCCGTGAAACCGCAAACGATTAGAACATTTGCGGTAAGACCCTCGAAAACGCGAGCGAAACTAATCGGAGATGACCGCGAGTAAACTGGTCGCTTAAAGGAAGAAATCGTTCCGACTGCAGACAAAACGTAAACGAAACGAGAAAGAGCAACCAAGGACGTCAAATGGGCGTATTAAAATCTTCATAATTTTTCAGTTTCCAGTAAATCAGTTTATGAGCCCCTAAAGTGTTTTACAAACATCTCGCTTATTAACACTAGGTTTACGGGTGTTTTATATATACCTGTTTCTACAAGCATCCGTCAAATTGACGGGTAAACAAAAACACGGATTTTCTTTAAAAAATCGATTTATTCGAATTAAGTCTGAACTAAACAACCCTAGGCTTTACGTTTAAATGAATTATTAATAAGTAAAAAGTCCTTTTTTAAAAATTATCACGGAAATGATTGGAATGCTCGTCCTCTCATCCTCGGAGTCGGAACTAG